AAAAAAAAGCCCTCAGTGGTAAAATGTGGAGGAATATGTCAGGAATATGTTTTGAAACTTGTGCTTTGACCAGGTGTGGTGACTCAAGTCTGTAATCCTAGCACTTTGGGAGGCCAAGGCAGGTGGATCACTTGAGGTCAGGAATTCGTGACCAGCCTGTCCAGCATGGTGAAATCCCATCTCTACTAAAAATACAAAAAAACAAAAAAAATCAGCTGGGTGTGGTGCATGGCTGTAGTTCCTGCTACCGGGGAGGCTGAGGCAGGAGAATGCTTGAACCCAGGAGGTGGAGGTTGCAGTGATCTCAGATTGTGCCATTGCACTACAGCCTGGGTGACAGAGCAAGACTGTCTCAATAAAAAAAAAAATTGTGCTTCATGGTTTTCTAGTATCCTAAAATACTACATATTCTAATTTAGTTACCTTATGAGATTATGAAATTTAAAAAAACACAAGTCACCTCTGGGGAGGGGATAGGTTAGTTAAGACACAAATGAAAAAGAACAAGCCATGTAAAGCAGGATGGTGCTGGGTTTCAGGAATAAGGGGCTATCCAGGTGGAGGGGGCAGCAATTAGCAAAGCCCTGAGGTAGTAAATACTAATACTTAGGTATCCAAAGATCTAAAATTAAGCCAGCCAGCCTAAAGTACTTTGAGAGAGTGGTTTGAGATGAGGATTCAAAAATCAGTAGAAGCCACATTACTCAGAGCCTTCAAAAAGTCCACAGAAAAATGAAATTAAATGAGAAAAATAAAATATATTTAAAAAGTTAACCCTTACGATTGTTAAAGTATTTGGATTTTCTTTCATATGCAAAAGGCAGCCATTGAACAGATTTTAAAAATAGAAGTTATATGATGTAATTTGTTTTAAATGAAATTTATCTGGCTATTCTCTGAAAGTGTGATTGGAAGGGAGTAGTATTTTCAGAAATTCAGGAGGAAAAAGATAGTGATAGTTTGAACTACAAAGACGGAGATAGGTAGTTAAATTCAAGATAAATTTTGGAGTTAGAGGTGATCATTTAGAAGCCCTCCTGCTCCTGCTGGGCCTTTCTTAATCAGCTACTCCTCCCTCTGGAGAAATATTTCCACCTGCGCTTGATTTTCCCCCTCACTTTCAAATGAGCCTCAGTCACCTTCACTTTAACGGAAAACATTTCCTATTCTGTCTTTAAGATCTTTCCTCAGGTAATTTAACTTGATAAATGTCTGGAAAGTTTATTACTTATCACTCATTTTAACTCTTATTCAGCCCTCAGTACTATGCCAGTATTTGCTAAAACTTCATTAATGACTTGCTAATTGCCAAATTTAGTAGCTTATTTCTAGTCGTCATTCTGTTTGTCCTCACTATAACAAGGATGATTTTAACTACTGCATCCATGGAATTATCTCCTCCTTTGAATCCTGGGATAGTGTTAGTGTTGTCTTCTTGTCTTCCATTCCTTCCTACTGTCTCCATTTCAGTCTTTTTTTTTTTTTTTTTTTTTTTTTTTTTTTTTTTTTTTTTTTTTTTTTTTTTTTTTTTTTTTTTTTTTTTTTTTTT